CACAGCTGTGGGGCACCTGGGCAAGCCCGGGGAAGGCACGGGGTGTGGCCTAATATGCTAATGTGCTGTGCTGTCAGGGGTTTAGCTTAATATGCTAATGAGTTTCTGCTGTTGGGTGTGGCCTATTATGCTAATGAGTTCCTGCTGGGCTTTTTCTACCAAAAAAGCCCTGAGCAAACCTATGTGCATGCAGTGGACATACGCACAGACTCTGCCTGCATGTACATGCTGTTAAACACATGAAGCTGACTTATTTTGAATCAGACCATTTTTCTGTCAAGGTCACTATGGTCAACTCTGACTTGTGGCAGCTCTCTAGGGCCTCAAGTCTTTTCCACTGCTTGTTACCTGATTATTTTAACTGGAGATGTCAGGGATTGAACCTGGGACTCTCTGCATGCAAAGCAGATGCTGTACCAGTGAGCCATGGTGCCTGCCCCATGGCACACACCCAGACCAGCCCCATAGCTAGGATTTTGTGGCTTGTGGGGCAATTTTTTTCCTGGTGGGGCTCTCATTGTTTTCCACAATGAAGCAGGGTGTGCGTGCCCCTTTCCCTCCTCTCCTACAAGATCTAAAGAGCCCTTCAGCTGATCGGCGGGAACATGTGGCCCGCTGATCAGCTGGAAGGCCCTTTAAATCTTGCAGGAGGGAGGGAGAGGGGCACGTGCCACCCCTGCTTCTTCTCAAAAACATTTAAAGGGATCCTTTAAATGCTTTTGAGAAGAAGTGGAGGGCTTTAAGAAGCGGGGGGCCTTTAATGGAGGGGGCTGGCCCTTTAAGGAAGGGGCGGAGCCCCCAATAGCCCCACTGTAGCTACGGGCCACGCAGAGACTCAACTTGCATGCTCAAACAGTTGGCACAAATACTATACAAAGCCTTTGAGAGCCAATTCTGATAAGAGCAGAGTCGACTGGGCTAGACTGGCCGAGGTAAGGTGGCTTTATAGGTTCAGGTTCATAGATAGATTTCCACATATGGTTGGGTACATTCAGGGAGGATGTCTATTAGCCACAATAGCTAAGGAGATTCTACATGTGCAGAGGCAACATATCTCTGACCAGGGCTCTTTTTGTAGAAAAAGCCCAGCAGCAATTCATTAGCATAATAGGCCACACCCAACAGCAGAAACTCATTAGCATATTAGGCCACACCCCTGACAGCACAGCTCATTAGCACATTAGGCCGCACCCCCATGTTACCAGAAGTGTGGTCATCCAGCCACACCCACCTTTTGCTTGTTATTCTGTTAACCTTGTTTGTTGTCAAAACCCAGGGCCTTTTTTTTGTAGCAGGAACTCCTTTGCATGTTAGGCCACACACCCCTAATGTAGCCAATCCTAATGAGTTTCTGCTGTTGGGTGTGACCTATTATGCTAATGAGTTCCTGCTGGGCGTGGCCAGCTTGGGAGCCAGCCGGAACTCCGTTCCTGTGCGTTCCTGCCCAAAAATAGCCCTGTAGACTCTGACTACCACATGCTGTGGCACATGAGGGGCATCTGGTTAGCTATTGCTGAAAACGGAACACAAAGACTAAGGTGGACCTTTGCCATGATCGCCTTACATCTATTTTGCTTTATTGCTTATATTCACCACCCAGTGCAGTGCCTGCCTCCTCCACCAGTGATCCCAAGCGCCCCAAAAGATCACTGGAGCGTATCTGCTGTTAACAAACTCCACATCAGAGAGCCAGCAGCAGCTGAAACTGTCGACAGCACCTGGCTCTAATCTGAAGCACGAGCTGTTATGTTTGGAAGGGGGGGAAAGAATGGAATACACTTATTCCCCATCAGCCACACGCATATCGATTACTTCCATGTAGGACAACGTCGTGTGCAAAGCAGACCTAGATTTATCAAGCACAGCAACAGGCAATCTTTTTGTGGCCCAAGGGCCTCCACAAAAAATGCAGTGCCCACCTGTAAAGATGCTGCGTGCCAGCAAATAAATTGGGGTTGGGGGGTTGGGGAGAGAAGGGTTGTACAGTACCTGCCCAAATATGCTTGGAGCAAACGAAGCTCCGGCAGTGGTGGCAGCATCTCAGGGATTTGCCTTAAATTCAGCTGGTGGTTGTACAGATCTGGAAGGCAGGGAGGGGTGGTGGCTCAGGGTAGAGCAACTGCTTAGCATGCAGAAGATTCCAGGTTCGAGCCCCGGCATCTCCAGTTAAAGGATCTGGCAGTAGGTGGAGTGAAAGACCTCTGCCTGAGACCCTGGAGAGCCACTGTCACTGAGTAGACAATACTGATTTAGATGGACTGAGGGCAGGGATCATTTCATAGAAAAAGAGGTGCAGGAGCTCATTAGCATAGCTCATTAGCATAACTTATTTGCATATGCCACACCCCCTGACATCACCGGACGTGTGCCAGAAGGCAACATCCACCACTCACGCTCCACTGGACTGTTTTGGATTGCTAGCTATTGGGGGGGGGGGGAACGGGGGGGTCGCGCGCGTCTCAAAGAGGAGGGAGAGCTTGTACCTGAATAAAACTTGGTCTTAAAGGTGCCATTGTACTGTTTTGGGCCGGGGGGCTGGGGGGGGGGGCTCTGCAGCTTACCTGGCTGCTTCTTGCTCTGACTGAGGGCCGCTGGGAGCAGGGGGTGGGGCTTGTTGCATGTGCCCACCCCCTGGGCTCTTTACTGCCGGAGCTCCGCTCCTGTGCGCTCCTGCAGGAAATGACCCCTGACTGAGGGTCTGATTCAGCATGATACATCAAGGTGGGCAGCCACGTTGGTCTGAAGCAATACAACAAAGTTAGAGTCCAGTGGCATCTCTAAGACCAACAAAGTTTTATTCAATATGAGGCAGCTTCATGCGTTCAAGCATGCTTCCATGCTGCTGCTGGTCCCAGCAATGCCTTGGTTGTTTGGGCAAAGATCTGGTCCTCAGGCCCAAGCAAAAGGGACTGGTGTGCCAGCATCAGCAAGTGTGCCATGTGCGGCCAACCCTGATCTAGCATTAATCCCCTGTCCTTAGAGATTTCCAAAATAATTAGTCATTTATTTAGGGGATTTCTAAGCTGCCTTTCCGCCAATGGAGGCCTGCAAGGAGGCTAACAAGATGAAAATGGAAATCATTTTATACAACACAGACATATAACACACTAATGCCACAACAGCAGGGGTCTCAACAACAGCCTCTCTAGCCCCTTTATCTGCAAAGCCAGTGTACTCTCCCTGCCCCCATCTTCTTAGTAAAAAGTAAATCTGCTCCTACCTTCCAGTCTTTTGGCCTAGGAGTTATTAGACAGCCTGTGGAACAAAGTTTGAGTCCAGTGGCACCTTTAAAGACCAACAGTGTTTTTATTCAAGATATTTTGTTGGTCTTAAGGGTGCCACTGGACTCAAACTTTTGTTTGGCTCCTACCCACCTGAATCTAGACAACCTGTATAGTTAGATTCTGGCTGCTGTGCATTTATACCCTCTGTATGAGTATACTTCTAGGCCAATTTCTGGCCATGGATCTACATCTGCCTGTATTGTGAAGTGAGTGCAGGGTCAGCGAAACACCATAATGCACAAGCATATGCACCAACATTATCAATTAGGACAGCTCTCTGAAAATGAAGGACATTATTTTTACCAGTCACAGAGAAAGCTTGCAACTAGTGAGCCAGTTCTAAATAAAGTGATAGGGAATTTGCCCATCACATTTTCCCAACTTCTCCAGTCCAATATACAAATTTCTATAAAGAAAGGATTTTGTTCTGCAGGTATGTGAGCATCTTTGAGTAGAACCCCGCTTGAGTCCTCCAAGTGTTTGCAATTAGAAAGATCAAGCCATTTCCATTCCTCAGGTATAACTAAAACAGTGTTGGCCCAACCAGGGGTCGTTTCGTAGAAAAAGAGCTAGGGGAACACATTAGCATAACTCATTAGCATATGCCACACCTCCTGACATCAGTTGCCCGGCGGTGGACCTGCAAGGCCGGCGGGAGTGCGAGGAAGCCCCGCCAAGGCCCTCCCTGGCACCAGGCAGGCAGGGGTGGGGAGAGGCGGGGAGGAAGCAACTTACCCTCCCTCTTCTCCTGCCTCCTCCTGGCTGAATGAGGGCCGGAAGCGGGGCTGCTGGAAACAGGGGGCGGGGCTTCGTCATGTGCCCCGCCCCCCGCACCTCACCCGGGGGAACTGCGTTCCCCCGCAATCCCCCCCGAAATGACCTCTGGGCCCAACATCTTTTACAGATGGCCTGTTCCCATGAGCTCCATCATCACCCATTGAAGGTGTTCTCTCGTTTTTATGATGCTATCGATGTGCTGCACCCAAGAAGTAAGGGCATGAAAGGAAGTATTCTCCTCCCATTTATAGTGGTTCCTCCCACTGGAGACTCCCTAAAGCAGGGGTGTCGAACTCATTTGTTATGAGGGCCAGATCTGCCATAAACGAGACCTTGCTGGGTCGGGCGATGTGTGACATAAAATGTAATGCCAGGTAGCAGAGATATAAACTTTATAAAGGACACAAACGCAAAGATTTTTTTTTACTTAAAATAAAAACATGCTTAAGACATTAGCTCTGTGACCTGCAAACCTACTTTTGATTTATTGACATTCACCACAGAAATCTCATGCTCAGAGTTCTGAGTCTAGGACCCAGGTTAAAACTTTAAATGGCTGAGTGATTAAGAGAGTATGGTGAAGCAAGCTATGATGCAGCAGCAGCAGCAGAACTGGAAGCAGGAGATGGCCAACTCCACTGCGGGCCTGATGGAAGCCCTCCAGGGGCCTGATCCGCCCCCCGGACCACATGTTTGTCACCCCTGCCCTAAAGTGTAAGCCTGAGGACAACTCTCAAAACCCACCTGTTTGGGGTGGCTTTGGGGGCTCAGAGTTAAGCCACCGAATGGGGGGAGGGGAGCAGAACTGTGAACTGATCTGAATTCTGCAGGGGGGGAGCAGGTTTGCTGAGTATCCCCCCCCCAACCCCCAGAGCCTTTGAGATGAGACGACCTAACAATCTAAGTCAATCATAAATTCATGGAAGCGTTAACACCTACCTCCGCTCGTAGCCCATGCACCACGGCTGCCCTCCGCAGCCCGGCTTCCACACTTTGACCAATCGGGAAAAGGCTTGGACACGTGGCTGCCACCGGCCCACCATGGCAAGCTCTTGCTCGGCACAGACATTTGGCCTGTAAAGAGGGGGTTGAGGGGAAAGGGGGAAAAAAATACATGGGTACGTTTGACTCAGGATCCTTCCTTGAATTTTTTTGAGGGGAGGGGTTCGCCAAGAAAAAGCAAAGGTTTTTCTAGTTGCAGAGATAAGGAAAAACCAAGGATTATGTATCCCCCCTTCTTCATAAGACAGAAATCTGCTCCTGCACTCAGTATTCTGACCAGCGGGTTCTTTGAAAACAATTTCGCTCCTTACCATGACATGTATGGCTCAGGCTAACCTGATCTAGTCAGATCTCAGAAGCTTAACAGGGTCGGCCCAGGATAGTACTTGGATGAGAGACAAGCAAGGAAGTCTTGGGTTGCTGTGCTGGGGTTGCCAACTCTGGGTTAGGAAATACCTAGAGATTTTGGGAGTGGAGCTTGAGGAGGGTGGGGTTTGGGGAGGGGAGAGACTTTAATGGGGAAGAATGCCATAGAGTCCACCTTCCAAAGCAGCCAGTTGGAAAGATCAAGCTATTTTCATTCCGCAGGTATGACTAGAACACAGAACAGTGAGCTTTTTATTTTTATTTTATTTTATCTTTCAACTTTCTACCCCGCTCGAACCCCCAGGGGGTCTCTGAGCGGCTTACAGTTTTGAAGTCTTTTTGTAAAACAGTGCCTGCCATGATCAAATAGCAATCATCTTTGTTAGAATTATCAGGTAGAATATTCAACAACAAAACCTCTGGTGTAAATGGTACTACAGTCCCTAATACCTTTTGCAAGATTTCGTGTACCATTACCCAATATTTCTTAGATCTTTCATAATGCCACCACATGTGGTAAAATGAGCCAACCTTATTTTCACATTTCCAACACTTATTAGAACATTTTGGGTCAATTTTAGCTAACCTTTCAGCTGTTACATACCATCTATAAAACATTTTGTATATATTTTCTTTGTTCTGTGTAGATAGCAGAAGGCCACTGATGGCATATATTAAATTGGACAATGTGCCAGTGGAAAAGAACACATCCTCCGTTTTTGCAAACTGATCCACAGGTGTTTTGAGCTTGTTTGTTTTTCAATGGCCAGGTTGCTTTTTCCTGTTCTCTTGATCAGGTAACAATCCTAATAGCAGCTCAAATGACCAGGTAGAGTACCAATATTTTTAAGGGGTGCTCATAAACCCACACACAATCTAAGGGGCTGCTGCACCAAACACCCCTCTGCACACGTGGCAAAGGGTTCTGGGATGCACCAGTTAGTTCTGCCCCATGTCGTCGACAGAGCACACTTAACGTTGCACTGATCACGTCTGACAGCCAGTTGGCTCTCAGCGTTTCTCTGCATGAAAACAGAATTGTTTGTTTATTGTCAAGTTAATTTTTTTGCATTACACTAAACCTGTCTGGTGAGCAATACCTATTGTCTTCGGAAAGTTGGGAAAGGGAGGATCAGGGGGGCAGGATGTGCCAAAATAAATCCAGCAAAGGGTCTGTCAAGGAAGCAGTTCCATTCATTGATGATGTCTAAAGTCAACAGATTAAAAGGGCACAAGGCGGCTTTGGAACAAACCATACAGCGGAGACCTTGTGCAATTCTTCTTTACCAAGATACACAGAAACACATGATTGTGGTCTGTGTGTAGGGCTGCCAAACGGATATGCTGTCAAGCTGTTCTAAAATTGTCTATTTGACGCTTCAACAATTGGCTACAATATGTGGTTTAGGAACATTCATCTGCCTGAGCTTTTTGTCTAAGAGACAGGGGTGTCTTACAGGAATTTACAACTCCTGGCTAGCACCAACGGACAAGCCCCCCAATTGACAGCGCCAAACAGCTGACATCTGCACACACACAAAAAGCATTCTGGTGAATATCAATGTCTACTGAACGGCCAAGACAATTATGAAATCTGGGTTGTCAGATATTCGACGGGAAGAAAATATGGTGAAAATATGGGAACTCCTTTTATTCCCACATTAAGCAAACATTGCTTTGGGGGCCTACAATTCTTCTGTCTTCTGTTGGCTTCATGTGTGTTCTGTAGAAATGGATGCAAACGGTATGTTGAATGAAGGAAGACGATGCCTTTCTGTGTTGGGAGAAGCGCAGAACATCGTCTCTTCCATACTCGTTTGTACTGGTCTTCAATCCATAGGTCAGGAATCTCGGGATACTCCGGCAGATTGCGGAGTCCCACCTGCTGGGTCCTGAGCCACTATATGGTCTCCCACTTTCTTTTTTGCTGTTTCTTGGGAAAGCCCTGTGGGTAGTTCACATGCAGGATGAGCAAGGGCAGCATCCTTCCTGCCTCTTCTTTGCACGCATTCAGAGAAGAACGGCAGAACGACAAGACAAGATCAGTCCAAGAGAGAATGATTCCTTTGTACCTCATTCCTTCATGCAACACACGTCCCGGCGCTCGAGTCACACTTTCCTCTCCCCAGCTCTCTTGTTCTGCACCTCTGGCTTGTTCCTCACCAGGGACACCTTTTTTGTCTACTGCCCACAATCCTTGCAGGGTGTCCTGTGTCTGGAAAGGCTGAGGACTACTGCCCCTATTATTGGGGATTTTCCTGACTAAAATGTGTATGGCCCGCAACACTTAAAACTGAATTGCTAAGCAATTCGAACAAACGTGTGACTTTAAAACAGTCATCAGCAGGGGTCATTTCCTGCAGGAGCGCACAGGAGCGGAGCTCCGGCAGTAAAGAGCCCAAGGGGTGGGCACATGCAACAAGCCCCACCCCTGCTCCCAGCAGCCCTCAGTCAGAGCAAGAAGCATCCAGGTAAGCTGCAGAGCCCTCCCCCCCGGCCCCCCAGTCCAAAACAATCCAGTAGCGCCTTTAAGACCAAGTTTTATTCAGGTACAAGCTCTCCCTCCTCTGCGAGGACAGATCTGCACATTCCCCCCCCCCCAAATAGCTAGCAATCCGAAACAGTCCAGTGGAGCCTGAGCGGTGGGTGTTGCCTTCTGACACACTTCCAGTGATGTCAGGGGGTGTGACATATGCAAATAAGTGATGGTAATGAGCTCCTGCACCTATTTTTCTATGAAAAGACCCCTGGTCATCAGCAATGAACGCAGCTAACGGCTTTTGAATAAGGAACCATAATTGTAGAGATTACCCACTTAATATGTAGGATGCCTTTGTATCCAACATGGATGTATCTTTGGATTATATTTGCGCGGTGTGGGTTTGCTATGTTTCCCATTCCTCCTGAAAACAAGCCTCAGTACATATAACAGTAATGATTAATTTGAAGGGGGATGAAGTAAAGAGAATGCAAGGGGTCTGCCAAAGGTTTCAAGGGCAAATGCAAGTTTTAAGGAGGAACTGTAAGGAAGTAGGAGGGCTGCGGTGGCTCAGATGTTAAGACACTGAGCTGCGGACTGGAAGGCCCGTAGTTGGGCAGTTCAAGACCCTAGTGCTGTGTGATGGAGTGAGCTCCCATCTCTGGCCCCAGCTCCTGCCAACCTAGCAGTTTGAAAGCAAGAAGTTGCAAGTAGATAAACAGGTACCACTTTGGTGGGAAGGTAACAGTGTTCTGTGCACCTCGGCATTTAGTCATGTCGGCCACATGACCATGGAAATGTCTTCGGACAACGCTAGCTCTTTGGCTTGGAAACGGAGATGAGCACCACCCCCTAGAGTCGGATTTGACTAGCTTTCGAGCAAGGGAAACCTTTACCTTTACCTTTTTTAGGAGAGAGCTAAGAAACATAGGAGGAGCTGCGGTGGCTCAAGTGGTTAAGACGCTGAACTGCAGGCTGTGGAAGGTCAATAGTTCAGCAGTTCGAGACCCGAGTTGCCGCATGACGGAGTGAGCTCCTGTCTCTGGCCCCAGCTTCTGCCAGCCTAGCAGTTTGAAAGCAAGACATTGCAAGTAGATAAATAGGTACCACTTCAGTGGGAAGGTAACAGCGTTCCGTGCGCCTTGGTGTTGAGTCATGCCGGCCACATGACCACGGAAACGTCTTCGGACAGCGCTGGCTCTTCGGCTTGGAAACGGAGATGAGCACTGCAACCCTAGAGTCGGATTCGACTGGCTTTTGAGCAAGGGAACCTTTACCTTTTTAAGAATCATAGGAGGTAGTTTCAGACATAAGGCTCACTGAGAAAGAGAGAGCAGGGTCCTTTGAGGGAACAGAAGACCTGCGGGCCTGGACAGATGAAAGTGGTGTCATCCTCTATAGTGGCGCGGGGATAGATCTCCAAACAGAGAGTTCACACCACTTTCATCAACCAGCAATTCCTAACAGCCAGCTTGGTGTAGTGGTAAAGAGCAGCAGACCGTAATATAGAGAATCGGGTTTGATTCCCCATTCTTTCACATGAAGCCAGCTGGGTGACCTTGGGTCAGTCACAGTCCTCTCAGAACTCTCTCAGCCCCATCACCTCACAAGGCGCCTGTTGCAAGGAGAGGAAGGGAAGGCAATTGTAAGCCACTCCCAGAACTCCTTCTCCTGCTTCTTCAACATTCTCCGGGGAAGTCATGACTGGAGTAAAACCAGTATAAGCTTGTAGTGCGTATATAATCTATGTTTTGGCAACAGTAATGTATACAGAGCAATTTACTGCTCTTCCATACATAACTTATAGTTACAGGTGTTTGATGCCTGGCTCTTAAAAGGAAACTCCCAATAACTTTCCTGTTAGGGTCGTCATCTCCCCGATGGTGGCGGGTTTCCCCCTATTTTGGGGAAACCAATCTGCCACCAGCCAGCTGGTGCTGACTTGAAATCCAAACACTGTACTGTAAAGATGCATCTTACAAACCCATCAAATTTGAAATGAGCCTGTGGTGTCTGTGTCTATGGGTGGAGGGGCTGACTCATTCCTTCACAGATCCTCAAGACTTCTATTAGACCCAGTAAAGGGGAAAAGAGAGGTATAATATAGGTGACTATCTTTTTTGCCCTGACTGAGCTAACAGCACTGGGGGGGGGGGATGCTTTCAAGAAAATAACCAAAAGAAGGGGTAATTTCCTGCAGGAGCCCAAAGGAGCGGAGCTCCAGCAGTAAAGAGCCCAGGGGGCGGGTGCATGCAACAAGCCCCGCCCCCTGCTCTCAGCAGCCCCAGGCCACGAGGAGCAAGAAGCAGCCAGGTAAGTTGCAGTGGGTGTTGCCGGCCCCCCAGTCCAAAACGGTCCAGTGGCACCTTTAAGATCAAGTTTTATTCAGGTACAAGCTTTCCCTCCTCTGGGAGGACAGATCTGCATTCCCCCCCCCCAAAAAAAAATAGCTAGCAATCCAAAACCGTCCAGTGGGTGTTGCCTTCTGACACACTTCCAGTGATGTCAGGAGGTGTGGCATATGCAAATAAGCTGTGCTAATGAGCTATGCTAATGAGCTCCTGCACCTCTTTTTCTAGGAAATGACCCCTGATATCAAAAATAACCATCCCTCTCCTCTTCAGCACCGCGGCCTCAATCCAAATCCCGCTCCCATATTGCTGTGACTACTTGTTAAAAAGTTATATGCAAGTCAGGAAATCAGATCAAGGTTCTCATGCACAAAGTTCAGGCTTTAGGCTACCCACACCACGAAAATGTTCGGGGGGGGCATAAATGAAACTGACATTGTCAGCTTCTACTTGCTCCATCCTGCCCCCCAACAACCCCATTAACCTGGAATATGGCGCACTGGCCAGTGAATTCCATTATGTAAAAATAGGCTTAAACCCAAGTGTTCTGGCTTTTGACTGGGTTGTAAGACTTGTACATCCAGCCCTTGGCATCCTCAAAAGATACAAGAATTCAACAATCCCAAACGATCCTTGCCTTAAACTTCTAGGCTTATAAAACTAATGAGTTTTCCAGGAACAAGGAAATTCTGGTGGAGTTTTTCAAAGCACACACACACGAACAGATGCCCGGGCTGCCATAACAACATATGGAAATGATGGTTTTGCATTTAGTGCATTGTTCAGCACTAGTTGGGTTTACAAAGAAAAACGGGGGGGGGGGGGGGGGGTGATGTTGCTGAGTAGAGGACGTCTGTCCTGGCAGCAACTCAGACTTGTACAGGAACTTTCCAAAGATCCGCACGGTATGTCAAGTTAAACCCATAACCTTTAATTACAATACAAAACGCTTTTAATGCTAACAAGAAAAAGGGAAGGAGGAAGAGGCTGGAAGTGAATACAGCTCCCATAAAAAATTAACAGTCTTTTCAATTAGAGGGTTACTAGCTTCTCCCCCCTGTTTTTTTCCCCATGTGGGGAAATAAAAAGTACAAAGGTTTAGCTGCTGAATTTCTGCTGGTCAGAAAGTTTTACATGTACAGGGTCCTGAGCAGAGGGGAAACATTGGCCATTAAATTCTTTCACAGGCAGAAGAAGAAAGATAAGGCACAAAGACAATTTAATTCCATTTTTTCCAAGTGTGGTTGATTTGCAAAAGAAAAATTATTAACTCCTACCCCACCCCGACGCTGATATGTGGTACAGAACAACTGATGTTAAACCACATAATTCAGTGTAATCGAGCGTCAAACCAAATATATGATCAGATCTCCAGCATGGTGTTTTTAGTAATAAACATGCAGCTTGGGGGAAATTGGATCGGGGCTCCAAGTAGGCGTGGGGTTTAACTCTTTTTCCTTTAACATATTCCAGGTTTCAAATGGTCTGTGCATTTTGCCTAGTAGAAGACATGCATGGGGGAGGGAGACACAATAATGCAAATGGAAAGAGTTTTTAGAAACCTTCCTCTTCACCAGTCTGAATTGTGGCGCCTCCTACTGCTCTTTAGCAATAAAATAACAAACGAAATTCATTCACAAATCTGCCAGCATCTACCTTGGTTTGACTCCCAATGGAAGCGTGTTGAATTTGGACCAGAAATGGGATTCAAGTCCCATTTTGGCAACACCTCTCTCCCTTACCCATGTAAACAGGGCCGGCTCACTCACTAGGCGAACTAGGTGATCGCCTAGAGCAGGACGGCCCTTAGGGGCACCAAACTGCACCCGGCCCGTACTCTGGGAGTTTCTTGATTATTTGTGTTTTTCATTCTTCCTAAAATGCATTTATTTTTGAAAATTGGTGGGTGCACGGGGGCCCCCAAAAGGGATCCTCGCCTAGGGTGCAAAATAAGCTGGAGCCGGCCCTGCATGTAAACCAGTTTGTAACCTGCCTGTCACAGTTCCCAGCTGAGGAAATCTGGGAACTGCATTTCTGTGAGACAGTTTGCCATCCTGACAAAAGGATTTTCAGCACCCTTTAAAAAAACAAAAAAACTGGGTCTAGAACCCTTTGAGAAAGTTCAAAAGGGTTTCAAACTAGTTTGCATTTGTAACATGCCAGCAGGTGATCACTGTGTGGTTTTAGATAACACTCAGCCTCAGTCTACCCATCTGTCTAATGGTAATAACACACAATGGTGCAGCAAAGGAAGGCGAAATGCTGAGGCAACAGAATGGTTAATCTGAGAGATTTTCAAGAATCCGTTCTTATCTAAAGAAAATTAGAGAACCGTTTTCTATATACCTTCTACCCACTGTATATAATTTCTCTTTCGACTTGAGGAACCCAAGGCGGCACACCGGCAACTAATACATTACAATAGCCACCCAACGTGGCTAATGTTAGAGCACCAGACTCGGATCTGGGAGACCCAGATTCAAATCCCAGTCTGCCTTGGAAGCTTGCTGGGAGACCTTGGGCCAGTCACGCCCGAGGGTTTCCAGGTCCGGGTTGGGAAATTCCTGGAGACTTGAAGGGTGGAGGGGTTTGGAGAGGGACCTCAGCCAGTGTATCATGCCATAGAGACTACCTTCCAAAGCAGCCATTTTCTCCAGGGGAACTGATCGTGGTCGGCTGGAGATCCATTGTAATAGCAGGAGATTTCCAGGCGCCACCTGGAGATTGGCAACCCTATCACACCCTCTCAGCTTAACCTGCCTCACAGGGTTGTTGTAAGGATAAAATGGAGAAGAACAACATGAAGGATGCCATGTCTTTCTGGGCAGGCTTAGCCATCTGGATCTCCTGAAACAGAACTTAAACCAGGCAGAGCCATTCATTCCCCCCCCCTTGGGAAAGTTTCATCAGCTAAATAGCTGCTTGAAGATAAAAGGACAGGAACGGGAGCCTTGGCTCCCCGCCCGCCTCCCTCCCCCCCAAGACTCCTGTGGTCTTACCAACTGCAGGACAAGAAGGCGTGCTGCTGACATTAATAGACATTACACATAAGAGCATGTTAGAACAATCAAAGCATCCTACATACATTATCCCAGATCTTTTACAACACCCTTGAAGGAGAGGTTAGTGCTGTTATTATCCCCATATTTGGGGGGCAGGGGTGAGATTTTGCCATACCTAAAGCCACCTTCAACATGATCCTATACTTAGAGGTAAGTCCCTCTGGATTCATGGGAATTTATTATAAACATGCTTAAAAGACTGCACCGGGGATAAGATTTGAATCCAGGACTTTTTGGTCTCTTAGCCAGTAAAATTCTACATTAGCTCTCCCAAAGAAGACCACGAAAGTGTTGCTGAGTTCACAAAACCGTCCCGAAGCAAAGAGAAGTTTAAATACTCACATGTGTGGCAGCAGCTTGTTCCCACAGGCAGCCAATGGTAGCTTCAGTGCAAAGATGAAGGAGAAGGCGAGAGCGTGGAGCTCCATCGCATCAAGGATTAGCCAGGGTGGCACCAGCAAGCCCCCACAAAGTATCCCTTGTTTTCCCAAGCAAGTGACTATTCTGACAAACCACTGTTCTTCAGAGAGAGAGAGAGAGAAAAGAAGCGCATTGCTACTTTTTGACCCAGCCAGGGCTCTCCCCCCCCCCCACTTTACAGAGAACAAATTTTGGAAGCCACACAGTTTTCCCCCTTGCTGAGAGATGTATTGGTCACCCCGGGAAACTTCCTCCTGGCGCTCAGTACAGGCAAATCCCCCTCTGGGTTCTCACGTCCGTAGAAAAGATGGGTTAGGGGAGGGGGGTCACAGAGATGGAACCCAAGCCGGGGCGAGCTCCTTAAGGTTGCAGGTCAACTTTTGGCACGGCAGCTTTCTCGTCTGGCTTCTGCCAGGGGTCCGAGAACGCCTCGAGGGCTGGCAGTTTGCAAAAACCAGGCTCCATCCAAGAAGCAGCCCCATCTGGGTGTCTCTAGCTCAGCTCCCCTTGCTCAAGGTAGCTGCGAATCCGACCCTCCCAGCAGAAGGAAAACCCCACCTCCAACAGGACACAATGAATTCCACTGCTCCTTTGGACAATAGGGAGAGAGTTCCATTAACCCTCTCTTTGCACAACCCTGCTGTACCCTGCAGAAGTATCTTCTCTCCCCCCCCCCCCACAATCCCTTCTCAACCGAGGGGCTGAAATCTCAGGACAGTGACAAAACTTCCCTCCTGTTCTTCCCACAGCCTGCTTCATTCACATGCTCTCCCATTTCTTCTCCTGCTGACAGTCAGAAATCCCTCCCACCAGCTCTCAGGTTTGGAGGAGGGGACCGGTTGAAAAGAAAAGCAAAAAACAGAGGTTGGCTGAGGCCGATGCATTTTTGCAAGAGCCACATACCAAGGTGAGGGCTTTGCACTTTCCACTCACTCTGTCTTCGCCCCGGTGCCCAAAGAGAAGTCTGACTCAGACAAAAGATCCAGCCTCGTCTGAAATGCTCGTAGCCTGTTCCTGTGCACATGTTGTCAGAAACGGTCCCCTTGGTTTCTCTCATTCCCCAGTAAGTGTGTTTAGGAGTGCAGCCAGCTAAACCGTTCCAAGAGAAATTCCAATATGTACCTTTGGAGCTGATGATAGAAAAAGTACAGTGAGAGAATGGGGGAGGGGACTTTTAATATTCCAGTTCTTCTGCCTTAAGAAAGGCACATTTTAAAATCTCCCCCCCACACACACACACTTCCTAAAAACCAAAAAGGAAACAGCCTGAGGAGTCCTTAGTGGTGGACAGTGCTGTCAAGTTGCAGCTGATTTATGGAAACCCCACAGGGTTTTCAAGGTAAGAGACAAACAGGGATGGTTTGCCACTGCCAGCCTCTATGCAGCAACCCCGGACTGCTCCGGTGATCTCCCAGGCAAGTAGTAACCAGGGCTGATCCTATTCCGCTTCTGAGATCTGACAAGTCAGGGGTCATTTCCTGCGGGAGCGCACAGGAGCGGAGCTCCGGCAGTAAGGAGCCCAGGGGGCGGGAACATGCAACAAGCCCCGCCCCCTGCTCCCAGCAGCCCTCAGTCAGAGCAAGAAGCAGCCAGGTAAGTTGCAGAGCCCCCCCCCCCGGCCGCCTTCAGGTACAAGCTCTCCCTCCTTTGTGGGGGCAGATCTGCGCGTTCCGATCCTCCCATAGCTAACAATGCAAAACAGTCCAGTGGCACCTTTAAGACCAGGTTTTATTCAGGTACAAGCTCTCCCTCCTTTGCGAGGACAGATCTGCACGTTCCTCCCCCCCTCCCCCAATAGCTAGCAATCCAGAACCGTCCAGTGGAGCCTGAGCGGTGGGTGTTGCCTTCTGACACACTTCCGGTGAGGTCAGGGGGTGTGGCATATGCAAATAAGTTGTGCTAATTAGTTATGCTAATGAGCCCCTGCCCCTCTTTTTCTACGAAATGGCCCCTGGACGAGATTGAGCTAGCATGAGACATCCAGGTCAGGGTGATGATAGCTCCTTAGGGAGAGCTGTTAAATGAAGAGACTCTTCGTCTCCTCTGCCCCGATTAAGGGGGCTTCTCCAAAACACTGCACAAACATACTACACACAGGTGTGATCCCCTAACCTTTCTGAGGTAGCTTGGTGATTTCTGTGCACTTATTTGTGGCTTTCTGCATTTTCTAGCCAGAATGCTTTACAGCAGCAAGTGACATACAATTTTATAGTCGGTGGCCCGTCGCTGTTTTGATTTTAAAGGACGCAGGAGAAGCTCTGCCTGAAAAGAACCACCTAGAAACAGAAAGGGGCCCTGTAGTTTGCACAGTCCAGGATTTCTCCTGGATGTTCCGGATAGCTTTGTAAATAAACAGCTCTTATTTAAGCGCAGAAGAATCTTATTTTTGTTGTACACACTTCGCTCTAGTTCCGTTTTTACATGGCCCACACCACAGCTGACGTCCACACTGAAATTAGAAACTGGGAAACCAAGAGGGCAATCCGAAATGGATCTACTTAATTCCTTCTTAGGCCTACTCAGTGGGGATTGCTCCCAGGAAAGTGTTTTTAGGATTGCACTGTAATACGACAATCCTATAGAGTCACAGAGTAACACCGCACAGGATTACATAGCAAATGCACACAAATGGCTTTCAAATGAACAGCAGACATAAGCAGTCATTAAAGGGGTAGGAAAACGGCAGTTTTAATCGGACACCTAACACACAGGAGGGTCGGCAGTAACAAAATCTTCCTGCAGAGGAGAGCTCCATAATTAGGGTGCCACCACAAAGCAGGCCTTACCTCTCAAAGGGAGGAGCACCTGGAGTAAGACTTTAGGTGATGATCTCAGCTGTCTGTTTGGCAGGTTCCCACAAGAGGAGATCTATTAGATACCCTCGGCCCAGTCTTACAGGGACTCACAGCAATGCCCAGGCCAATTTCAGAGCCCTTCAGAGGGAGCAGGAATAATGTGATAGCCACCTCCAGATGGCATGGGCCAACCCAGTGTATCTGCTTAGCTTGGTTCCTCACCTCTCAGCTCACCTTCCTCAACTTGGGTCCTCACCTGACCCTAGGATTGCCAGCTCTGGCTTGAGAAATTCCTGGAGATTTGGGGATGGTCCCTGGGAAGGGACTTACGTTTCTCCCAGACTCTGTGGTATACCATACAGTCTGCCCTCTAAAGCTGCCATTTTCTCCACGTGAACTGATCTCTGAAGTCCAGAGACCAGCTGAAATTGAACTCGAGACCCCACGTGGAGGCTGCCAACCCTACCTTAGCCAATGCAGACTACATGAGCTTTAATGAGAGTTAAGTGAAATGGAACAAATGTACCTGAAAAGAAATAAGAATATATCTAAGGTTACTGCTGCAGCGTCTCTACTTTTCTGGCATACTGACAAAGTCCAGCCCTTTCTAAATCCTCAGTGCCTACCTAGGTTTTCCAACTTCCAGGTAAGGAAAAGCCTGACGATCTCCTGGAATTATATCTCATCTCCCGCCCACAGAGATCAGTTCCACGTGAGAAAGTAGCTGCTTTGCATATAAGGTAAGCGATACCTAAGCCCATAGGAAAGAGGCCACCTGAACTCGGGTACTGTTGACCTTTAAAGACATTATCTTGGGTAGATATCTGAAGAATTGGTCAGAGAAAGTGTTGAGAAGGATTGCTGACTGAGTGAAGGGGACAGACTCTATGGCATTATGGCCTGCTCAGGTCCTTCTCCCCCCCCCCCCCCCAGGGATTTCCAAAACTGGGATCCGCAACCCTGCCTACCCAGTCTTAGAGCCACTGGACAGCTCCCCCACCACCAGCACTGATTTTTATTTACTAAAACTTCACAGTTACATCCACCTTCATAGCAGGATGCCCCTGGATCTCACACTGCTGTAGAAGTCCACTGTCTATGCTCACCAAACTGGTCTGTTTCTGTAGCCTTGTAAAATGGAGAAGGGGATTCTTGGTTGAGAGACTGGGAGGATTGGGAGGAGCCTCAAGAGGCATCACAGCGGGTTTATGGCAAAATTCTTTGAAGACTGAACACGTGCGCCTGTTTTCTGAGAACAAGGCAGGAACGGTGCAAAACAGGCTGCACTGCGATATCCGAATCAAAATCTATCCAACGCTGTGCTTGTTGGGTGTTACAAGTTAAAACACTTTTCAGTATTTACTGGGTTAATGATGTTTGTTAAGTCACCTGATTGTTTGTATCCAATCTGTTTTAGACAGTTAGAAAGCCCGGCAATTTCAAAGCTAGTTTGTTGTTCTGATTGGAGACCAAAGTGCCAAGTATTAGCATTTTATGGTTTCTCTTCCCGTCTTGTGTTTCTTTGTTCTGAGCAAGAAGAAGAAGCCTCTCTTCTGCCATTTTCAGTCTAGCTGTAAGGATGTAGGCATATAAGCTCTTTGTTATTTTATATCCTGTGTACCTTTTCCCCATGCTAGGTTGTAGTAAACTTTTATTCTTTTAAACACACCATGGACTCTGCCTCTTTAATACTCTGCTAACAAACTTTAAGTCAGAAAGAATCCCAACAGTGCTTCTCTGTAGACAGAAATGCTTGCCTTGGCATGGAAACAAAATAATAGGGGGGGGGGGGGGGGATTTCACCTGAAAAATTTCTTGGGGGGGGGGATTTGGGAAAGGATTAAAGTACAGGAACTCTGCTTAGGAAAAGAAAAAAAAGATAGCAGCTCCGTGATGGAGGAGGAGAGTCAAGAGCTCTTTCACAAGTAGCTATGGAATACAGTGAGTGGGGGGTGGAAAGCACTGTCGTGTCGCAGCCAGCTGAGGACAACAATCCTTAGGGTTTTCAATGCAAGAGACTTCAGAGGAGGTTTGGCTGCTAGGTTGGCAGGAGCTGGAACTAGAGACGGGAGCTCACTCCGTCATGCGGCACACTCGGGTCTCGAACTGCTGAACTACTGACCTTCCACAGCCTGCAGTTCAGCGTCTTAACCACTTGAGGCACCGCAGATTATGGAGCCTTCCTTAATTCACCATGGCTCAATAGCCATATG